ACGAGATCTCTCTCCAGGGGCCTCCAGGGAAAGAAGTCTCCCTGAGTAATAATCAGGCTCTAATCCCCTATCCCTTGTTTGCTCGCCTCCCCCCGAAATGTGTAACTAAAGAAGAAATCTACATAGAAGCATGGCAGCCGGGCTGCGTACCCTCTTCATGACCTGCCACCTGCCACCTGCCACCACCCGGTGGCGAAGAAAGTCCACCTTGGTTCCCATGGGCAACCCCACTGGTGCCTGGGCTTGCTAACAAACCCCTGGCTGGGATTGAAAAGATTCCTTTGTTAATGAAGGACTTCCTTCCTTCACACCTTCAACTTCCTCCTGAAGCCTCAGACCCATCTGCCTTATTTCCTCTCTAAATACTCACACATTCTGAGCAGAATAGCTGGTAAATAGAGAGGATTTAGTGGCATCCTCTAACCTGGCAAGCGAAGGTCAAACCACCGGGCCGCTCAGTCGGGATGTGAATAGTATCACTTGTAGAAACAACTTTGCCTACATAAGACAGCTGGTGTGAAGAAAGCATTGTAAACTAACCTCAACCTAAAACATTCTGCATGGAGAGGCGACTCTCAAAAAGAAGCCCAGAGAAAGCCACCTGTCAGTTGCCTCCACTAACTTTCTTCCTCTGGATCCGCGGTGGCCGCACGCCCAGCACCAGATCATAAACCACAACAATCCTGTTCCTCGATGTGACAGCTTCTCTTGCAACTAGGGGTGGCCCTATGACCCACTTCTAGCCAAGGAGGTTGAGAATGAAAGTAGGTTGAGAACATTTCTGGGAAAAACTTCTACTTTTCCTGTTAAAGGGACAGACATGGTAGGTTCTACTTTTCACCTCTTCTTTCTGCCTTGAACACAGACATGATGTCTGGGGCTGTAGCATCTATCTTGCAACCATGAGGCAAAGAAAGACCTTGGGTAAACATCGAAGATTAGCAGAACCAGAGGCAGCCAATGATGACCTCTGAGCCTCTGGTTATGTGAGAACAATAAACCTGTATGTGTTCAAGCCATTTAGGCTGGCTTTCTGTTGCTTGCAACTTAACATGTTCTAAATGAGACACAGCACGCTTGGCATACTTCCATTAATTCTGCTCTCTGAAGGAATCTGGAGCAGAGGGAACCAAATCTGCACCCTCCTCCACTCTCCACCACCTCCCCTTTGTAAGCCAAATTCATGAAAACTCAAGCTGGGTAGATGAGATTGTGAAATGTTCCAATCTGATCCAGGGATTTGGGTCCTTGATGGGTTAAATGGGTGACAACTAATATCCAAAGAAAGTCTTTAGACTTTATGTCAAAGAAGATGTTAAAGGATTGGCTCATTCCAAGGCTGATACCTCTGCATCCTAGGTGGGAGACACCTGCCCAGGAGCCAGAAATGGGGTGGGAGGGCCCTGGTCATCCCTTGGGCAGTGCCACGGGTCAGAAGATGCTCTGGTTAAGTAGAATACATTTGAATAGGGCCCAAGTGGATTGTTTTTTTTTTTTTTAATTTTATTTATTTATTTGACAGAGAAAGACACAGCGAGAGAGGGAACACAAGCAGGGGGAGTGGGAGAGGGAGAAGCAGGCTTCCCGCAGAGCAGGGAGCCCGATGCGGGGCTTGATCCCAGGATCCTGGGATCATGACCTGAGCCGAAGGCAGACGCTTAACGGCTGAGCCACCCAGGTGCCCCTCAAGTGGATTGTTTTGATGAAATCCTCAGTAGCACCTGGTCCCAGGGGGTATCAGAGAAAGACACCAGTCATATAGGATCAGGACCCACCCTAATAACCAAATTTAACCTTAATTACCTCTGTAAAGTCCCTATTTCCAACTACAGTCACATTCTGCAGTAAAGGGGGTTAGGACTTCAACATATAAATTTGGGGAGGATACAATATAGCCCAAACAGGACTCACATGATTACACTGGCCCCACCCAGCCAATCCAGGATAATCTCCCTACTCAAGGTCCATAACCTTAATCAGATCTGCGAAGTCTCTCTTGCTGTGTAACATAACACAGCTTCCCGGGATTGTAGGATGTGGACGTCTTTGTTGAGGAGGGCCTTCTGCCTCCCACATTGTACCAAGGACTTCACACTGATTATCTCATTTGTAACGTGGGCAGGTTATCCTATTGTCCCCGATTCATAGCCGCAAAAACTGAGACATACAGCCATTAGGAATGCCCCAATGTTGCAGAGCTGGTAAACGCTGGAGCTGTGGTTCGCCCACCCACCGCCTGACTACAGGGCCTGCCCATTCTGCCCGCCACCCTATGGCACCCACATCAGTGGGCCAGTTTGAGTTTTGGCAGCTGAGGGCTATTCTCTGCCCCCACCCCCACCCCGGGCCCAGAAACGGGGCTCCTCTCTTGCCCACCAGTTCTCCCCAAGTCTGTGGGGTGTGAACCCCTCTCCTAAACAGCTGCCTCTCTACCCATCTCCCTGCAGCTCTGCTTCTCTGCCCACCACAGGGTAGTCAGAGCCAGGATTGAAAGCACAGATCTGACCTTGTCACTTCTCAGCTTAAAGTCCCTCAGTGACCCCTGTGGTTCTGATGGCTGTGGCCTGCATGTGTGCCCCCCAAAGGCACACCTGAAGTCTGACGCCTGGTGTGATGGAGCTCTGGGAGGGGGTTCGTGCCCTTGTAAAAGAGACACCTGACAGCCCCCCAGTCCCTTCTGTCAGTGAGGACGCAGCAAGAAGCCTATGACCTGGAAGGGGACCCTCCCCCAACCACGCCAGCACCTTGACCTTTGACTCCCAGTCTCTGCAACCGGGAGAAATACATGTCTGTCGTTTGAAAGTCACCCAGCCTGTGGTGTTTTGTTAGAGCTTGATTTAAGGTTATGAAAATCCATTTCACCATGGAAAACAGTTTGGTGATTTCCTCAAAAAGTTAAACATGGAGTTTCCGTATGACCCAAGAATTCTGCTCCTAGGCTTATACCCGAGAGAATTAAAAACATATGTTCAGACAAATACATCTGTACAGATGATCATGGCAGCCGTATTCACAATAGCCAAATGGGATAAACAACCCAACTGTCTGTCAAACTGATAACAATGTGGGTAAGCCTTGAAAACATCAAGTTTTCAAGTGAAAAGTATTAAGAGACACGAAAGGTCACGTGTTGTATGGTTGTGTTCATACGAGATATCCAGAATCGGCAAATCCAGAGAGACAGAGGTGGACTAGTGGTTGTGAGGGGCTGGGGGATAGGGGAGAATGAGGTGTGACTGCTCCATGGCTGTGAGGTTTCCTTTTGATGTGACAAGAATGTTCTGGAACTAGACACGGTGGCGGTTGTACGACATTGTGAATGTACTAAATGCCCTGGGCTGTTCACTTTAAAATCGTTAATTTTATGGTCTGTGAATTTCACCCCCACTTAAAAAACAACCGGAAGAAGAGGAAGGAAGGAAGGAAGGAAGGAAGGAAGGAAGGAAGGAAGGAAGGGAGGGAGGGAGGGAGGGAGGAAGGGAGGAAGGGAGGAAGGGAGGAAGGGGAAGGGGAAGGGGGAGGGAAGGGGGAGGGAGGGAAGGAGGAAGGAAGAAGGGAAGGAGGGGAGGAGGGGAAGGGGGAGGGGAGGTGGGGGGCAGGGAGGAAAGAGGGAAGGACAGAAGGAGAGAGGAAGGAAGGAATTTACTGGCTCACAGAACTAACTGTGCAGTTGGAGAAGGGGGCTCAGCTGAATGATGGACAGAAACAGAACGAGAGGGGCTTTCCATCCTTGTGCCACCACGTCTGTGAGGGCTCACTCCACCTCAGCCTCCACGAGACAGGCAGGGTGGCTGCCCCCGCGCCCCCAGCCACGAGTGCTCCCAGCTCAGGACCCCAGCAGAAATACCAGGTCCGTTCTGTGTCCCACCCCACCCCACCGGAGTCTCCAAACACACCCCGTATGCAATAAAGGAGAAGTTTGGGGGCTACAGTTCCTCTGAGGATTTCATTTCCTTAAAGGATTAGGAACAAAGGAGGATTTATTTTGGCCCCTTTCATTTCCCTGCAGTAAAGGAAGGGGTCCAGGCCGAAGAAACAGACTGCCCTGGTCATTTGAGTGGGGACATTTAAGATAAAGAACCGTGACCTGAAACTATGGAAAGGCTGGGAGGGAACCCGAAGGGGCCCAGAAGGGGGCAGAAGCAGGAACGGGGCGACATCATGGCAGAGGGAGAATGGACACAAGGGAACACGGAGCAGGACGGGGACCACCCCCATCCTGAGCCTGGGATCCTGACCCCGTCAGAGACACCAGGCTGGCAGGGAAACGCAGAGGAACTTGCTGGAAGGGCAGCATTCCTCTAGCAGGCAAAGGAGAAACGCTCGCAGGGTCCAGCTTCAGTGTTCCCGGAGGAGCAAAGAAGGATGGACTCGGGGCTGACAGATGATGAGTGACTGACTGAAGCAATGGGTCTTTAGTTTCTGGGGCGAAACAAAAATGGGAGGGGCTTCTGCTGGGACAGGGTTGATGGCCCTTCCCGGCCACTGTGCTCTTTCCTCCTCCTTGTTGATGTCCTGGGGTGTGCTTTGCTTTGGTCTCCTGCCTAAGGCTCCAGGGCAGAAGGTGACAAAAGGCTACTTTTCGAGATTGTGGCTGTGGGTTCCTGCAGAATCCACCCCAGCTTTGGGACCCTGACCTGCACCGTGAGACCCACGTTCACTTGGCTGCTGCTAACGTCCTACCTGCTTCCCCATTCGGTCCTGCTCCTTCTGACTCAGGCTCCCTTGAATGTGCCAGGCAGGAAGGGGTTCCTGGGCTCCCTGCAGCTAAGCACACCTGGGACAGTCGCCCTGCTTCCTTCCCACAGCTATTCAAGCACACATCCACAGACCCGAACTTGAGTCCAACTCTCCACAGAGGAGGCCAGGCTACAGGGTGTCTCATCCTCTGTGGAGAGTGTATATACTGGCATCCAAACTGCATCAGACCTTCCGAAGCTCTCCGAGGGATTCCGACCCACTGGAGTCAGTAAGATAAACCACATGCAGGTGGCACACACCTCGCAATGAATTTGGCGCAGAGCAGGTCCTGTGGAAAGCACACGTGAAGGCACAGACTATGAATATTCCAAAGGGCTGGCGGCACTGGGAAGCATGCGGATGTCCAGGTTGTATCAGAGCTCTAAATAAGAGAGGAAATGCTCATCTTGCATCCATCAACCAGCCAGAAGGCAAACCGATCATTTCCCCAAACAGCACTTCTCTTGCACCCACAGCGGCCATGAAAGCTGAGGGCTCCCTGCTTATGACCCAATCACCTCCCAAAGGCCCCGCCTCTTAATACCATCACCTTGGGATAATGAAGTCGACATATGAATTTGGTGGGAGGACACAAGCTTTGGGTCCATAATATGGACCCAGCAAGCATCATGACCTGCAGACCGCCTGACCCTACACAGGAGGGACCCTCATTACTCTTCAGGGGGGAGGCATAGAAGTTCATGCTCCTGCAATATCTTTTTCTATATTAAGCTGAGACGAGCTAATTTTTTTTTGCACACTCATAAGACCTTTTTCCCAAATGAAAACCTCTTTTCTTATTCCTAAATGAGGAAACATATTTTTTAATGCCTCCAGTTTGTCCAACATGGCACCAAATGCTTGATATTTAACCCTTAGAACAATCTAAGAGGTTGGCATCCCACTTGGTGGATGAGGACGCAGAGGCTCAGAGAGGTTAAGTCACCTGCCCAAAGTCACAATGCTAACCGTGATCTGGTTGACCCCAAAACCCATGTATGCCTCTTCCAATGTTAGCAACACCCTCACAGGTTTATTTGCACCCACGAGTGGGCTGTCATGCCTCCTTCCACGTGGCAGGAGCAGAGAGTGCGAATGAACAAATCATACTCTGCCGGCCCTTCTCTGGCCGAGGCTGATCTCGGTTATGGGACCAGACAGCAGGTGCTGCTCCCTCCTGCGAACAGTGGGGGCAGGAAGCTATTTCAAGCAAGGGCCATGAGGGGCAGCACCAGCCCCCTCTGGCTGCCACACATAAAGGTGGCTCAGGCGCAACTCCAAGGAGCCACGTGATGGAGTGGAGGGTTGGTGGCTGTGGGGCAGCAACCACTGTATTCTGGGTGTCACACGTTCCCCATGTACCTCCCCGAGCGTACGCCTAGTCAACCTGGTGGGCCTACTAAGTCATTGGCATTGACCTGACCTTCTCCTGTAAGCACCTGCAGAGGACAGCCATGTGCCTTTCCACCTGTCTAACTGAAGCCCACCCCCCAGCACCTGGTGTTTCCACCACGGAACCCAGGGACGTGGCGGAGCCGACTTAGAGAAACCCATTCTTTGAACGCTGAGGGGACCCTTAGACAATACGCTGTTGGATGTGATAGAAATGTCATGGGCTTGTGCCAAAGACTTATTTTCAAATCTTGGCTCTGCCACAAGCCATGTGCCCTTGAGGTAATTACATGACCTTTCTGTATTCTCATCAGCAAACCTGCTTCATACGAGCCATAAAGCAATGAAATGGAATCGTACCTGGAATGGTAGGCGGCATGATCGGGCTCTAAACGACATCGTGACGTGTTCATGGGCGAGAATGCTCCTGCTCTCCCCCTGGCCAGGGACCCCCGCCTCTCCCACATCAGATAAGGACCTGCCGTGGCTTCAGTGCTTAGCCAAAAATTTCAGAGCTGTGACCTCTGGGTAAGACAAGAAGAATAAAGTGTATCTGACCAACAAATCACATCCCACTCCATGAAGGAGGGAGAGAGAGAGAAGGAGAGAGAGAGAAGAAAAAATAAAAAGAAGAGGGTTGGAGGGGAAGGGGGTTGCAGGGAGCAAGTGGGAGTTGGTTTTCTAAGAAGGACCCCTCATTTCTTGGTATGCAAGTTCCAGATAAGTCGGGGGACATTCGAGGAAAGTTCCCTTGTGGTTTGGAACCTGGTCGTGTAGGACTCTGAGGGACGTGTCAGTGAAAACTTGAATGGCCTTGAAAACCCGACCACAGAAGCATGACTGTCTTTGAGGAGGGCCTCCAGTAAGGGCTTCAAGGACAGAGAAAACTCGTAGAAACAGTTATGCAGTCGTGGCAGGAAGCCTCCCAGCCTCACCACCTAAAGGAACAGGAAAAGTAGAAAATGTACCTTACACACGGGGTCATCTGGCCAAGGAGACGGTCCACACCGAGCGCAGGAGGTGCCATCTGCCTTCTTGCTGCTTCTGGTAAAAGGCAAGAGGAAGAGGGAGCTAAAGGAAGGGCCCTTGGACAAAAGGGAGCCCGACGTCCTGGTCTGGGAAATTCTCGACCTCTCCCGATGCCAAATGGTGTCAAAGTTAAGAAAGGGCTCCCGGGCCAAAGACAAGTGCAGGGCGCTGTCAGGAAAATCTGGTCTAAAGATGAATCCAGAAGTGTGATTGGGTCTTGGTCTGCTTGGGCTGCTATAACAAATAGTAAGTCCCACAGACAGGGTGGCTGGAAAAACCCTGTCTTCCATCGGGTGTCTATGACAGCTGAGGGTTATTTTTTTCTTCCAGTGGAATGAGCCCCAAAGTCTTACAGAGAATCATAGTGGGAGAAACATGGCCAGCATGGGCTGGAAGGCACAGAGAGCACACATTGAAATGATGCCTCTGGACCCCAGACCTGATACAGGTGGGAAGCAGGCTGAGAAAAGGATGCCCCAGGAAAAGGAAGGATGACCCAGAGGGAGAAACAGAGGCAGGTGGAGTGGGTGCAAGAGCCACGGAATTTGCCCCGGGAGCTGTCTGCTGGTGCTGCCTGCCTTTCACAAGTGCTCTGAGCCCGTGACTTGGGTGCATCCCCACCTTCCCCCCTGGACGAACAGGATGGCCTACAGCATCGTCGCCTGCTTGTCCCATTGTTGTCTGTCATTGAGTGTGGGACGGGGTGGATGGCTTGTGTCTCTAGTTCACAAACTTCGGATCAGAGAGAAGTGGATTTGAGGGCTCAAGGAGCCTTGTCAGTATGGATAAGCTGATGCTCCATGAGGATGAGGCTTTGGGGGCCTTGGGAGAGGCTGAGCACACCTTGCACATGGGAAGGCCATGAACCGCTGCGGGACAGAGGGCGAGTGCAGCTGCCAGCCTCCAAGATGGCGCCTACAGATCCCTCCCTCTGGTGTTCTCAGGCCTGTGTTGTCCATCCCTTCCAGAATGGGACTGACCCACAGAACCAACAGCACACTGGAGAACTGAAGCGTGCGACTTCCGAGGTAGCTCTAACACTGTGGCTTCCTCTAATTCTCGCTCGGGGCCCTTGCTCTGGGAGAAGCCAGCGGCCACGTCATGAGGGCACCTGAGCAGGCCTCTGCCGACAAAGAGCGTGGACTTGCCAACGGTGCACAGGAGCCATGCCATGGCCTCCTTCAGATGGCCGCCGGCCTCCTTCAGATGGCCGCAGAGCCCTGGCTGGCTCTTTTACTGCAACCTTGTGAGAGAACCCAAGCCCTACAATCCTACTAAGGTGTTCTTTAATTCCTGCCCCAACAGACACTATGCAAAAATAATACGCTTAGTATCGGGTTCAGCTGCGACGGTGTGGGGTAATTTGTTACCCAGCAACAGCTAACTATTACAGGATGGAAATAAACACGTCAAAGATTTCATTCAATTGGTTAATTAATGATGAAAATAGAAATAACAGCTCCCAGAGCATTTGAGGAACTTGATATTTATGGGCAATTTAATGAAGGGCTGTTAGAATCTGAGGGCTAGGTTAATACAAAATAATACGAAACCGGTTCCTGTCCTATGGAGTAATGAACTGCCACCTTTGGGTTATCTTTTCCACCAAACAGAAATCAGTGCCATCTCTGTCTGTCAAAAATCTAAAGTTCACACAGAATTTCTGAGACCTTTAATCGACAGAAGGCAGGGAATGGAGTCATTCTTTGCAGTGAGAGCCTGCTCTGTGGTTTGTGGCATGTTTAGCAGCATCGTGGCCTTTGTCCTGCTACTTGTCAGCAACACTCCCACACTCCCACACTCCCCACCAGTCATGACAAACTGAGAACCACTGCTGCACATCCTTAAGTAATCCTTGGGCAGACCTATCAAATGATGCTCATTTCGACACTGACATGACATGCCGTCCACTTTTTGGCCTCATTTCCAAGTTTTAAATACTTTCTCATAATGAGCGTCTGCAGGCCAGGAACTGAGAAAGGAAGCTCCCTCCCACTTGACTGCTTCCAAGGAAAGGGGGTTCTGGCCCCTTGCTGTGCCCCAGCTAAAACTGGACACACAGTATGGTCTCCTTCACCTCCGCCCAGAAGAGGACAGGAAGGAATGGATAGAGAAGGCAAATACAGTCGGAATAGGGGATGGGGTCAGAGAGCTTCCAGGGGTAAGCCTCACGGCACCATATAGAGACTTGTCTCAAAGCAGCTCGGGCAGGAAGATCAGTTGTTAGCCTGAGAGAAAGTTAAGGAGAGGAACAGGATGCCCAAAGAGAACCCCAGGCCCTAACTAAGGCTTTTTTGGGTTTTGCTTGCTACCTTTTCAAAATCATTTTAAACATGCAAGAAAAGAAGAAATTTGAATTCACCTTTGGGGGCAGATTGATTTTTTCTTTTTTTGAAAGGAACCATTACATGAATTCCTTCAATGAATTCCCCCCCCCCTTTTTTTTTAAAGATTTTATTTATTTATTTGACAGAGAGAGACACAGTGAGAGAGGGAACACAAGCAGGGGGAGTGGGAGAGGGAGAGGGAGAAGCAGGCTTCCTGCGGAGCAGGGAGCCCTATGCAGGGCTCGATCCCAGGACCCTGGGATCATGACCTGAGCCGAAGGCAGACGCTTAATGACTGAGCCACCCAGGCGCCCCATGAATTCCCCTTTAAACCGATGAGGGATAGAAGCAGAAAAATGTTCACCCTTACCCCGGAAGGCTGACCTACAGCCTGCCTAGTTTCGATAAGGATCAAATACGTGCTGGTTGCTACATTCTTAAAGGGTCTCATGACTGCCTGTAAATCTCACCCATAGTTAATGTCGAGCTGAATGATAAGCAGCAGAGAAATCTTGCAAAAGTAGTTTTACGAGCAGAAATTCGAAGATGTTTATGATCTAATACTCCCTGCATATCCCCTTCCTGTTGAGCACCAAGCGTACAACCACCAGCCTCACACAGCAAAAGTGCAGCCCTCTCTGTCCACAGGCCTTGTCCCTGTGCTACTTCCATAAACTTACTAAGCTGCACCATTGAACATCGCAAGAATTCTTTCTTGGCTGTCACATTCGACAATCCGCAACAAAACCATTACTTCGATTACTGAATATAAAGCAAATACTCACCATGCTTGTTGAGTCTGTTGGCCTGTATGTGGATGCTTGAGGCTGAGAAGCTCCACATTCTGCACAGAGTAAATGGCAGAATCAGACCTGGACCTGAAAAAGAAAATTAATTAGTCGGCAAGAGGTGGAGGAATCGGTTTGCGGTGACTATACCTGCAGCCGGTGGGGCGATGTGTCTGCAGGAGGCCAGACTGGGTTGGAGAATTCCCCCACCAGTTAAGGAGGAAAGGCCAGGGCAGGGAACCTGGGTGGGGCTTGTCGTCACTTAGCCTTTGGGGATGCTGTGGCACTAAGCTTAGTTTTAAGGCCCAGTGAGGACTCGTGTTAGACAGCCACTTTGGATGGACCAGTTTTGTCAGGGATCAAAAGGCAAGGGAGCACTCCAGAGGCCAACAGGTATCCCTCAAACCTAGGGGTTGTTTTTATTATCAATCATCCTGGGAACAGGCTGGTCTTGAGATGGGGAACAAGGATCAGGGAGGCCAGCCTCTGACAGGAGAGATGGACATTCTTTCTGGGCCTCCCAGCAGCTGGGCTGGACCCTGAATCAGGGACATACACAAAGCCTTCCAAGGGAAGGAAGCCAGATGGGGGAGCCCAGGAAAGGACCCCAGGACAGACCCACCTAGAGACTCTAAGGGTTGCCACGTCCAGTAGGCTTATCACTTACCTATGCTGTACTTCCTTCCCTCTCTTCCTCCCTAGCTCGTCAACCCAGTCTGGTTTCTGTTGTGGGGTAGGAATTTAAGGGAAAAGCCTGTTCTGTACCTAAAATACAGTGCCAAGTGCCAAAGCTGGCATTCTGCTAAGGACAACAGCCTGAGGGAGAGGAACGGTGGCCTGGCCCAAAGATAGAGCATGTATGCAACACTACAACCCCCAAACTGGACCTCTGAGAGATCTCAGGAGGACTGAGACCCTGAGCACAGAGGGGACCCAAGGTTAACAATTCCCAAGACTAACAAGCAGCTGGGGAAATCATGGAAAGATGAAGTATGGTTGAGGTGTGGTCACAAACTGGTTAGGCCTGGACATGCAGGCTCTTGATGAATGATGGATAGACAGGCAGGCAGAGACACAGGTGGGAGGATGGATGGATGGATGGATGGATGGATGGATGGGTGGGTGGATAGGCAGGCAGACAGACATAGGTAAAGGACGGATGGTGAAGGAGTTCAGAGCATGTCACCTCAAAGGAGGCCACTTTGGCATATTGATTATTTTGAGTTAAAAGACTTAAGAAACAGCTGGTGTGGGGCATCTGGGTGGCTGAGTCAGTTAAGCATTTGACTCCTGACCTCAGCTCAGGTCTTGATCTCAGGGTCATGAGTTCAAGCCCTGTATTGGGCTCCATGTTGAGCGTGGAGCCTATAAGAAAAAGAAGGGAAGGAAGGAAGGAAGGAAGGAAGGAAGGAAGGAAGGAAGGAAGGAAGGAAGGGAGGGAGGGAGGGAGGGAGGGAGGGAGGAAGGGAAAGAAACAAACAGCAGGTGTAAGACACTTGGACCCTCCTTTTTCTTCCTGAAAGCAGAAGGTAAAACTCCCATATGAAAGTGCCCGCCCTGTCCCAGGAGGAAAGAAACATTCTTGTTACCAGAGACCAGGAAATGGAGGCCGAAAGATCTGTACAAGCAAATGTTAAACAGACCCGTAACTTCCTAGATACTTCTGCATAATTTACTACTCCTAGCCCAAACCCCTCTGTCTTTCTGATAAGTAAAAATTTATTGTCTCTTTATCTAAAAGGTATGAAAACTTCCTGTTCTGGTCACTTCTTCAGGCCTTCATTATCTTAAGATGGCTCCCACATACACACAAATATTTAATTAAACTTGTATGCTTTTCTCCTGCCAATCTGTCTTATGTCAATTTAATTTTTAGACCCAGCTGCAGACCCAGAGAGGGTAGGGGAGAATTTCTCCTCCCCTACAATAGATAAATAGAAATTGATATAGGTATAGGGAGGGAAGAAAATTATAGAGGAAACATTTATATTTATTATCTTCCTAAAATGTGGACAAGGGGCAAAGAAAGGACGTGAAAACATAAATGAATGACAACCAGACAATGCAAATTACTTGCTTTTGCTCGTCACAATCCAGAAGGAGCTGCAGAGGCCAAGTTCAAAGCTCCCCAGGCTTCCTCTGCTCTAGGTATGTGTGATGGACACACTTCACAGCAGTTTCACCCAACACCAATCAGGACGTCACAACTTAGCATGAAACAGAAGTCCGAGAGCCAAAGGATTGGCCCATGGTCATAGGAAAGGAAGTAAGCAGAGGAGGTTGTCCAGATGGGCCCCGAGGGAAGGCTGGTCTTTGGAGGTATCACTGTGAGCTCCCTGACCCCACAGCCACAGGGTTCCTTCAGGAAGGTTCTGCTGCCCTTCACCCGTCTCCTACAGAAAGGGAAGGTTATGATACTTGACCTACTTCCCTAGGGTGTGTCAAGCAGCTCAAACAACTACTCTAAAGAATGTGGCTATTTGGGAATAAAAGACCCTATGCAGGGCTACCTAATGTCACTTAATAACTACACAAGGCCCCCAGAAACATGACAGCCCAACAGATTGTGCCAAAGGCTTTGTGACGAAATGGAGCCCAGTGGGGCGTTAAGAGCCCTAATCCTCTGTGAAAGGCCTAACTGGGGAGCCCAGTCATATGCAACGTGCATATTTTTCTACACATAAAGCTGATTATCTACCACTTCCGGGAAACAAGGGAAAAATTACTTGTCATTATTTTAGACTAAAAAATAGTGAGTTCTGGAAGTTTCTTGACTCCCCTCCTACCTTGCCCATTAATAGCTCTAAAGAGGAAAAACTACCACGCTGATTTGGAGTGACGCAATGGGTGACAGCATGCTTCACGTCTTAAGAGGAGGTGGGAAAGAAGGATCCACCTTTAAAGAACTCCAATTAAAGTAATTACCATTGTTACCAAAATTACTGTTTTTAAAAGCTTGAAGTCCTCTATTGGAGAACACTTCAGAAAGCTGTGGGGAAAAAAAACCCCACATGACCAGCACGATTAGGGAGAACAAAAGCCAAGCCTTGTTTAAAGCAAGCTGCTTAAATCCTCCCGTGCCTCCGTGCCACGGTGGGAAGTCACCATTCCTGAAAGCCTGTCATACTTTCTTAAGTTTTCAAAGAGCTGTCAGCAATATTCCCAGGGTGGGAGGGCGACGGGCACGTGAGCGGGGCTACACGTGGCAGGTCGCATGGGGCCAAGGCTGTCTCCTTCTGGCCCTTCCTGAACTGCTCTTCAGACGAGGCACATGCCGTGGCTCCTCGTTCTGGGCCACAGGGTGGATGGACCACGACAGGCAGGGATAGGGAATGCTAGGAGATAGGCCAGAGCCCCTCCGGGATAACCTTTGCACTCTTGATGTGGTGCCTGAAAGATCTAGATATTGGTGGGCGTGCTCTCAGATTATGAAGGCAAGGACAGCTTTTGTACATTTTCAGTGTGTTGCAGATGGATATTTTCTGTAAATTGTCCTAAAAGTCAACTACTAGGAACATAAAATTAATAATAATAAAAAAAGACATACAAAATATAAGCCCCACGACATTGTTTTCAGGCTCAACAGGCAAATACAAAATACTCTGTGCATTTGCTAGAAAAGATGCTAAGAGCTTTCTCTCAATTTCTGTACTTCCCCCACAGCAGACCACCGGTCTGGGGCTACCCTTCATGCAGCTCTGGTGGAGGATAGCACATCTCGAAGTCGTTGCTAGAATACTTAGTCACCCAAAGTGGTCACAGGCAGATGGTTCCACTGGTCAAATGAGGCGTGGAAAACGCCTCATCTCCTTTCGGGCAGGCACAGTGCATAGTGGCAGATTAAAGGCTCTGAGAGATCCTGTTTCAAAAGAAGTGAAAAAACTCCCTTTCTTGAGCCCAGTTCTCCAAATATATTTGCTCACTTTCTCTTTCTCTCTTCTTTTATTTGCGTACTGATTAACTTATTCTTGCCTAACACTTGCACTATTCACCTGATGACATCCCACCGACCCCACGTTAAGAGATGCTTGCCTGGGGTCTGACCTCACAGGCATCTGCCTGGCCTCGAACAAGTCGGTCTGGAATGCTGGACCCCAAAGTGGAAAAGCCCCACCAGCCCGCATCGATCCCGCAGTGGTGATGTCTGGACCCATTTGTGGACCATGCCAAACAGTCCAAGGACTCACTCCTGGTGACGGTCAGGTTCCTCTTGCTCATTCAGCAGCAGCAGATAGAACTCCTGCTATTAGTGCTACTCCGCTTTGGCGATGGCCCGGCACGCTGGGACACGGCGGCCTTTAGCAGAAGTCTGTGCATAGAATAAACTCGATCAAGGGTAAGGAGACTGCGAGCTTCGCTGGGGTGCGGCGATGCACCAGCTACAGCGACTCTGTTTATCTTTCCCTGGGCTCGCTCAAGCTAGGCTCAGAATGGCTTTTCCTAATTAGCTGGCATCAGGCAAACATCGCCTGCAATCAGTGTCCTTACAGGAGGCTTCCGAATACTGCTCAGAAATACATTTGAATGCGTTACACCTCCCAATTCCCCTCTAACAAAACAATTATCCATAGTCCAATTTCCACACGCGGAACCCCAAGTGCCATTCACACTGGGGTCAGTAGAACGAGGGTCTGGTGGTGCCGGCACTCGACTGCCAATGGTTTTAACAGTCATGGAGACAACTAACTGGTGGCGACAGCAGGTTTAGAACACCACTGTCTTCCAAGGACAGGCCTTCACAAATCAAACACACGCCAAAGTCAAGGCCCCTTTCTTGTTTCCTGCATTCCCTAACACCACCTTGTACCCCTGTGGGGTCACTACCTCACAATCTACTCGATATAAGCCATCCCGAGTCACAGAAAACAGTGTTTCTAGGCCTGGGAGTCTTCCTGGTACCCACGTAGGCACAGTATCTCGTCTCAGAAAATCGAGCTCCTTGTCCGCGTGTTGCATCATCCCTCCACACATCCGATGTGAATCCCCAGCCACTGCAGGGACCAAGAGACTTCCTACTGACACAAGCATAATTAGGAGGACGCCAGACTATGTCACAGGCTTCTGTGCGGTTATGAAACATGCCAGAAAATTCTTAAATACACCTCTCGACAAAAGGTGGAGTCTGATTCCCCTCCCTGTGAAGAAAGGCTGGGGGTGGGGGGGTGGCGGGGCTTGCTCCTGACAGACCACAGCAGGAGACATGGCTGCCTGTCTCCCAAGGCAAGGCCAGAAAAGGGGTATGGCTTCCTCCTGGTTGTCTCTCTCTCTCTCTCTGGGGACATACAGCTTTGGAACCCTGAGCTGCCATATAGGAAGTGTCACCATCTGGAAGACGCCATGCTGGAAAGACCATGAGTGGAGACCACATAGAGAGACGCCTGAGGACAAGGAGCTCCAGCTCTTCCCGCCCAGGTGCCATGCATGGGAGTAAAGAAGCCTCTGAGATGCTCTCAGCTGCTCCTGAACTGGGTGACATAATAAATGTTCATGGTTGTTTCAAGCCATGAGGTTTGGGGTGATTTGTTACTTGGCCATAGCTAACTAATACAATCCTTGAGTGGGGCACCACCAGAGCCCTTTCTACTTCTCTTTTTCTCAGCACACACTCTTGGCCTCTTGAAAACTCCCCCAGCTAGAGGAGCTCACCTACAAAGGAACACCTAAGCACACCTGGTCTCACAGACTTAGCCTTGAACAGCCTCTCCGCCCCCATTGCTCACACTTCGCTTCATGCTGCTCGCCTCCTTGGGGCTGACTCTTACTTTCTATTTGAGACACCTGTAGTTACAAAGCCCAGCTGGTCACTTGGTTGCTAACTTGAATGCTCTGTTCTCTTGAGTTGCCAAGCTTAGCTCTCTCATGCACCCACCATGCGCCTGGTGAGCTGATGTACCCCATCCCTGGGCTCCTCCACTCACAAGGAGCCCCGTCAGGTCCAGGCATGGCTGGCTGGTGCCTACAACTTCCACATGCTTCCTCCCTCCCTCATGCTACTGTTTATGGAGCATCGACAAGGCTCCAGGAGCAGAACAAAGCTGATAATCTCTCACTGTTCAGTAGAAGCAAGGAGCAAGAAGCAAGAAGCAAACTCTTATCTTCATTAACAGGCTGATGAGCCAATGCCAACCAGGAAGTTGTGCGGCCAGGACAGAAAATTTAAAGGGGAAAGATCTACTTTTTGTTGTTATAGTGGCGTGAGGTCTTGTATGGCTGCGAATGGGCACAACTGCGAGTTTTGTCATCTCTAAAACAGAGATGGTCACAGCGCTGTCGTAAGGAGTACATTGGACGATATATGCGAGATGTTTCACCCCGTGCCTGACATACAAGAAGAGCTCAATGAAGGTACGCTTTTCTTACTCTCCTGACATCCTATCCCAAGTTTAATATGCCCTGCACTGAGCTCTTTGCATCCCCTCCATGCCTCCCACATCGTCCCCATCCTGGCTGATGGCACATTATCCTTCCACTTAGCCGAAAAACCCCCAAACTGCTGGGGGGATGCCGTCTCCTTTCCTTCTCTCACGTTCCACGTGCAACTGACTGGCAGTGCATTTTGATTCTACCTTCAAAATAGATTCAGAACTGACCACTTCTCACCACTGGCTTCTCTTACCTTGTCCAAGCTCTCATCACCACCCCCCCTTAGTTCCCGGCCGAGATGTGCAGACTGCCCTGACCAGCTTTTTGACCCACTGCCAGGAGAACTGTGGTTAAACAGAAGTCACATCAACTGTTTCCTCAATAACCAGTGGTTTCTGATCATTCTCAGATGAAAGCCCAGTCCTAATGACCTCAGGATCTAATGATCTGGCCCCTGTTCTGGACTTCTCTCTCCCATCTCTCTCTCACCACCACCACACCACCCCTCCCCACCCGGCCTCCGGCACATTGTTGGATTTGGCTTCTCTGGCCTTCCTTTGGTTCCTCAAGCACACCAGGCCTGCTCCTGCTTCAGAACATTTGCACTGGCTATCCCTTCTGTCCCAAAGACTCTTTTTTTTTTTTCTTAACAAATATCTGAATGGCTTGCTTCCTCAGCTTCTTCCAGTCAACTTCTCCAGGAGGTCTTTGCCAATCATCTTAATTATAATTGCAACCCCTCCCAACTCTCTCTTTCCCTCCCCCATGCTTTCATTTTTGCCATAGCCCTTCTCACTGTCTACCACACTGTGTATTATTGACTTTGCCTTGTTTCCCCTCCTGGAATGGAATGTAAGCCCAGGAGGGTGTGGGGTCTGTTGTACACTGCTGTATTCCCAGTACCTAGAAACAGTGCCTAATACATGCCAAATGCTCAATAAGCATTCACTGGAGGAGGTGGGGGAAGGGAATACAGCATACTATTTCTTTGCTTTAAATGATCTAGAAAATACCCAAGCTGATCATGTGTGGATCCTTGCTTGGTTTTGAAACTAAAATGGAGAAAACGTTTGTACTTCTTCAGTAGGGAAGGGAAAGATGGCGGCCCCATGGGTACCTTTCCCCTCATCTTTCACTAGGTGCAGGTACAGTGGAATCACCATTAGCATGTGGCTCCGCCTCCTGCTGGTGGTAGGCATCATCCTCATTTGCATGTGGGGGTTAGAGTTCATCTCTTTGATAAAGATGCTCGCCCAAGGTGAAGAATAGAGCAGAGTTAGAGGTCAAGTCTCACCTCTGGGATGCTAGTTCTTAGGGAGGCCCTCTGACGCAGTCAGTGGCAGGTCTCTGAGTTACTCACAGTGGAGTAAACATTTCCCAGATGTGTCAGTCAACAGCTTGATAAATCACAAAGCATGCTGAGCTGGGGCGGGGGGGGGCGGTCACAGTTTATGGGTTTTAATCCCATAAACTCTGACATGGACCAGGTCCACAAGCCCCACGACCTGCAGGGACCACTCTACAGCTGAAGAACTTGCCGCGACCCCGTGAACTGAGCTACTCCTCACCTTCTCGGGAGGGTGACATCGCAGATGTCTCAGAGAGCCCAGCTATTCCAGACAAGAGCCATACAGGCAACGAGGGGGAAAACAGGAAAACAACCAAGGCATTTGGCAATGACAACCGTGCTTCATATACAACAGCTTTTTTCTTCTTGCTTATTTTCACTCATTCACTCTTTCAACAAATGCCTATTTAACATCCACCTAGGTAAGAGAGGTTTGTAATGGAGCTTACCTTCAGAGGAGCCTCATTTTCTGTGTCCTTGACTCCATTTTTTCTTTCGGAGCAGTCTACTCCATGCCTCTCTCTGGGGTGAAGCTCAGGGCCTCTACGGCAAGAAAGGCGGTTGGCTCCTTGCCGGATGGTCAACAGAGAAGTTGCAGAAGTTATAACCTTCAGAAGGCCCAGCTGAAATCTGCTGGCAGAGGCCGACATTCTGTAACCCCATATGCATGACGAATGGGGTTGGGCAACCTATCTGCATGTGAACTTCAAAAAGTACTTTAGGAAAAAGTGATGGGGGAAGGCCAGGAGAGCGATGACTAAAGATTTACTGGAAACAAACGAGTCAGGAGCTCTGGGTTCGGAGGGATGGGTTTGTCAGAGTTGGCATCCACCACATGGCACGAGGCCCAGGCATAGCAGGTGGTACAGACATAGCTTTAATTGATAGCTTAATTAAGGAATTAGGTAGGTTATAACTTCCCAACTACAGCCTGCTCTAGCTAAATTTTATCATCTTCCTTTTCCATAGAAACACACAGATAGAAGTAAAGGAGGGCTGAGTGTCATACACCCAGGAGCTGCTGCTCAGATGGTAGAAAAGGAAGAAAAATTATGTGTTAGGGAGGAAATGGCAACAGGTACTTCTTTCACTTGCAGGAAGCTGCCTCAGGAACCCCCAAAGGGCAATGCTTTACTCTTTCTCCTCAAGAACTTGCTGAGTGGCCTTCTACAGAGGAGAAGCACCATCTCCAACAGCCAGACTAGAGCCTCCAAAGGCGCAGGGCTGTGAAATGAATGAAGTCTGCAGAGACTCAGATGGAGAAGACATACAGCCATCTCACTGATGGCCATGAGCTCTGCAGAGGCCAACTACTATGTGCTTTATGAGCCACACTGGCCAGCTGCCTCAGGCCCCAGGAAAATGCTTGGCCCCCTGGCATGGGTGGGATGGGGCTCAGGAACTTGAACTTCTTTCTGTTATTCATAGCGTGGTCCCCTGTCTAGCTGCATCAACATCACCTGGGAGCTCGGAAGGGCTAGAGAACCTCGGAGCAAATTGCATTTCAGCAAGATCCCCAGGTGATTTCTTTTCTTTCTGTTTTTTTAAGATTTTATCTTAAAATCACCCCCCCCCAGGTGATTTCTATGCACATTAAAATTAAAAATTCAAGATTCAGTGACTTGGGGGCGCCTGGGTAGCTCAGTTGGTTGAGTGTCTGACTTCATTCAGCTCAGGTCATGATCCCAGGGTCTGGGATCGAGCCCTGTGTCGGGCTCCCTGCCCAGCAGGGAGCCTGCTTCTCCCTCTGCCTCTGCCCCTCCCCTCTGCTCTCTCTCTCTCTCCTGCCCTCTCTCTCTCAAATAAATAAAATCTTAAAAAAAAAAAAAAAAAGAATCAGCGACTTGGACAAGAGATGGTGCAGTCTAGCTTCCAACTTAAAAACTGACTCTTTCCTAAAAAGTTTCTACCTTGAAACTGTAAGAAGAGCAAGGTCTATGAAAACTCTAAGCCACCAGATAGATACCCATAACTGAGATTTGACACCCTTATTTGAATATAAATATGTTAACGTCTGCAAGAGAGTGATTCCAGAAGTGGTGAGAGTCTCAGATGCAGGAGGAGGTACGAAGCGTTACAGATTAGACAGGAAGGGTGTGGAGAACACTAAAGGCAAACCATGCTCTGTAATTTTGCCAGTGGCCTGGCGGGTGATGGACCTGGGCACCGTGGAAGGTGGCCTTCCCACTGTAGAGTGCTGTGGAGTTTGGAGCACAAAGCTAAGAGTCCAGCTCTTTGCTGATCTCTTATGCCAGCAAAGCCCGTTACTTCTCACCCAAACATCCAACTTTGCTACCCCCCAGCGCACCACGGAGTCATTTCCAGGAAGGCTGGGGCTCCAAACAGAGCCAGGTCATGGGCCACCTCGAAAGCCAGGCTGAGTGAGGACATTCAATTTGATGGTCATGGGGAGCCTCTGAAGGTGTGTAAAGCAGGAGAAAGACATAATCCGAGTGGGCTTTAAAGGTACAATTTGAGATCGTGCCGTTGAGTAGCAAGTTATTGCAATAATACAGTCAGGCGTATTGGACTTCAAATAGGTTTTTTTTTTTTTAATTGGGAGTGTAGTAAACCAAAATGTCACTTTATTCTGATGGACACTCATTTATTCCGAGGGACACACAGCAGGCGTCCAATAACACTGTGTTGAATGAATGAATGTAGAGTTACTTAGGGACATCATTACACAGACCAATCTACACGGAGCTGCAGTTAAATCTTAAATGTCGGTAAGCTATTTTCACCCATATTAACTGGGCCAAAATGCCATTTCTTGACTATTGGTGCCAGGGCTTGCTGGCTGGTTGGTTCCACATGTGACTGGGTTTCTGTCCTCTTCCCCGTTGGGCAGAGGGCTCTCTGGCCACAGTCCACCTTCCATCTGCTGTGGGATGGAGTTGCGGTGGGGAAAGGTGAGCTCTGGTCCTTTGCTCGAGGTCAAGTCACTGGACAAATCTGGGCTTGTTTCTTCATCTGTAAACTACCCATCACATAACAGGAAGAGTGTTAGGGGTTGAGCCTGCCACAGACAGACAAGCCTCCTGGGCTTGGCTGTGGCCCATCATCTTGCGAGGTGCCCCAACAGGCACAGAGTGTCAGCTCTGCCACTCGAAATGGGGGACATCTGCTTGCTCAGGCCAGGTTCCTTTTGGCCTCATGTGTTCTGGTGAAGCTGCCCGGTGACAAGATTCTGGAGAGGTCCATTGTCCCTGCTTCTCATCAACATACTTCACGGTAAACCTAACACCTGCGTTTCTTTGCATGAGTTATGATTTCCTGTATCAGCTTCAATTAGGTTCTACTTCTCTATGCTTCTCTCAGCACATCTCAGATTTAACTCATAGATTACAGTGGATTTTTAAAACACACGGCACAGATCCCTTCCCAGGACTCTGATTAAACTTGCACACTCCATCTGGTGTTCCAAGAGCTGTTTCAATCCTGGATTCCTTCTCTGAGGTTATTTGCCAACAACCTATCCATAAATTAATAGTTATGGTATGTTTATTAGTTTCCGGGACTTCTAATAGCATATTGATTCTGGGCAGAAGCTTAGCATCTGGTTTGGCTAAAGAATTTAATTTTCTACAAACCACAACAATCTAATCATATCATCTGGGGTTGAGACACTAATTCAGTGGCCTTTAAATGCTGATGTGTGCATCAGAGCTGAGCCGTACCGTTTTGCCTGCCTGCAATGAGGTGTTAAAAAAAATCAGTATATTAAAAGGGTAACTATATTCAATGTAAAGAACATTTTTTGAGTTTATGCTTTCTTTTTTTTCATGTGTAAGTCTTTATCCTATTTTTAGTAAACCTGTTTGAAAAATAAAAAATGGACAGCCCTATGACAGTGCCTCAAATCTTGGGGAATATTTATTTTACTGATCCATAAAATCCAAAGGAATAGCCTACCCTGGACTAATGGAGCATCCAGTGATATTTAAAATATGGCACAAGTCCGGGCTTAAAACCTCTTCTACCCCTTTCTGGTACCAACAAACACCTGCCATTGTTTCCCATCAGGGCCAGCCAGGGAGGAAAAGATTGGCTTCCCAGATGGACTTTTAAATAGAAGCCCTTAAATCCAATATTGACTCATGCAGCAGGAAAAGAGTATGAGGCATCTGACTCCCCCCGTGTTTCCAGGTGTTCATATTTCTAAGATTTCTGCCTTTCAAAAAAAAATTATTATTATTGCTTTTCTAACTTTCACTGACCGAGCATCATTGACCTTCAGCTTCAAAGGTAGGAACAAGAGTGCCCTTTCATCCCCACACCGGCCTCAGGAAGTTGGGGTGTGGTTCCTGGCCAGTGACCCCTGCTGCCTGTCAGGGCTGGGGCCAGGAACCTCTGTGATTTTCTTGCCCCTCCTTCTTCCCCCTCCCCCCACGAAAAACCAGGAGCAAATGACGCTGTTGAAGGGGAAGGAGCAGCAGTCTGAGAGGCTGTCTGATGAGGGCTGGCATTTGCTGAATTTCCCCCGAAGCCCTATCATGTTCACTTTTGGTAAAGGCCTAAATGGTGACCCCATTTGGGAGTATATGTTCTGCTTTGCCCCGCCCCCTCTTAGGGGTGTTTTCCCCTCCTCACCTCCCTGTCTTGCTTCAACTAGATTCTTACGTCCCACGTTCTAAACCCTTCTTTCCTGTCTGTCCTAAAAGGCTCCAAAGCCTTCATGCAAACCGAACTTCCACGGCCCTCCTAGAGAGCCCACAGTTCCTAAACCATCGGTGAGCAGCCCCCATGGCCAAGGCACCCATGACCATCAACACCACAAGGCTGATCTGAGCTGAAGCCAGAAGCTGGAAAGCCAACCAAGGGCTATGTGAATACTGTTTGTAGCTGTTTTCACAGAGCAATAAATCATGGACATCTCTCCGTATCAATACATGTAAAGCTACCCACATATTTTTAAAGGGTGAACAGTATTCTTTCATGTAGTTATACCATAATTTAACCTATCCTTTATTGATGGACATTCAAGTTATTTCCAATTTTTCTCAGTTACAAATACCGGTACAAGAAATATTCTTTCACATGTATTTTCCCCACTTGTATTTTTGTTCATAGAAGCAATACTGTTGGACCAAAGAGTACAACATATAAATGTGGACACTGGAAAGCGGTACATTTTGGGGATGCAATTTTCCTCTCCCTAGCAGGGCATGGACATCCTTTCTGCTGTCTTTGCCAATCACCGTTTCAATTTCAATTTCCTTAATTAATGGGGATGTAGAATATGTTTAATAGCTTTGGGCTTCTTTATCTGTATATGTTCTTTTATTTTTTTATTTTTATTTTTTAAAGATTTTATTTATTTGACAGAGAGAGACACAGCGAGAGAGGGAACACAAGCAGGGGGAGTGGGAGAGGGAGAAGCAGGCTCCCCGCAGAGCAGAGAGCCCGATGCGGGACTCGATCCCAGGACCCTGGGA